TCTGTGTGTCTGTGTGTCTGTGTGTCTCTGTGTGTCTGTGTGTCTCTGTGTGTCTGTGTGTCTGTGTGTCTCTGTGTGTCTGTGTGTCTGTGTGTCTCTGTGTGTCTGTGTGTGTGCCTGTCTGTGTGCCTGTCTATGTGCCTGTCTGTGTGTCTGTGTGTCTGTGTGCCTGTCTGTGTGTGTGTCTGTGTGTCACATAAGATGGAGGACATTACATGACAGCCAACCACAAAAGAGTCAAACAGAAAAACAATGAAATTAAGTTATTGTTACACATTTTAATTTGTGCATCAGTGAATTTTCCTCTGATTGATGCAGTAAAGTTTTCTGGTGTGAGTCACGACCACAAGAATATAATCTGTGTCACTGTTTCTGTGTTCTGGAAAATAAAGAGAAATAAAAACAGACAACACTGGGACATCTTGTGTCTGTGGGACACGACGACACGACTGGTTCACCTTTGTCCTGTTGTGTCTGTGTTTTCCTGCAACAGTTCTTTCTCTGATGATGCACACACTGTCCTCTTGTAACTTACTGCTGCCTCCCAGTGGTCATGCACCAACACTGCACCTGAAGAAGCACGACTGAGAGAGGAAACAGGAAGTTACTGGTTCCCCATAATAACGCACCTCGAGCCTGGGTCTTCAAAAGGGGGTCCGCGACCCTGAGGGGGCCTCAGAGTCACACCAAATTATTGTTTGATTTTTTATTTTAATGTTCTTTTTCCAAAAATTAAAATATGTATAAAAATACAGAATAACATGAGTCCAAAGTATCATTGGCAATGATAAATCAGTCTTTTCCTTTAAAACAACCAGCCCACAGTACTGATGCTAACTGTTAGCCATGAATCCTCCTGCCTTCATGTGAGCTCACTGACCTACACTGAATCACTGTGCCTTTGTCAGAACGAGTCAGTTTTTACTGATGTTTAACATTAAAACTTTATTTATGAACACATGAATCTGTCAATGATTATTATTCTAATAGGTAAGTGTTGAGTACACCATAAAAAGGTGTTCAGGTCGCTCTACAGGTGAGTGTAGGTACAGACACATGCAGCTCAGTTTTATACACACAGTGTAGTCGGGGCCCTGCTGTGTCTCTGTCAGCTGAGGGGTCTTTGGTCTGAAAATGTTCTGACACAAAGCGCCTGAAAACCACTGGCTGCAAACTGCACATCTGCTGGAGAGTGGACTGTAATTCCAGTTCATATCAGAGAACTAAACACTAACAGATGTCTCAGTCATCAATGAAAACAATGAATAATTAATACAAACAGACACAGACACAGACACACACACACACACACACACACACACACACGTGAGCACTAAACTCTTCTGCTGCTGATTAAACGTCCTGCTTATTCTACAGTGCTGTTCTGTACTAGTAGTGCTTTAAGAATTCTCCTTTTCCAGTTTGTAAATTGTTTATCCTGTTGTTGTTGTGTTCAAACAACTCTTTCAAACTGTTTGTTGTTTGTTTGTTTCTTTTTTTGTGCTTTGTTGTATTTTCAGAGGGGCAACAGATGAAAAATACCGTCTTGTATTTATCAATTTGCACTGTCCTTTTCTAAATAAACTAAACTTTAAATTATAACTACAAAATGTCACACAGTGTAAAAATGTCAATAACTGTCTGCTGCTATTTTTTATTTTGACATGAAAGTAGATTTTTAAAATGTATTGCTATTGTAAAAAATGTTTAGCTGCATTTTTCTGGATTCTGGATCGATTTGATAATTTTGATGATTCATCTTTTCTTAATTTATACAATGAACTACAATTCCGTGAGAATTCGTTTTTATTTACTTATTTACATTTTATTGTTTGCAGCCAGAATCAACTTTATTCGATCACTGATCAGAAATCGGTGCTCTGTTGTTTTCCCCCGACGTCACGTCCAGGAAAATAAATCGAGTAGAGATCAGCTCAGCCGGAGGAGAGCAGATCGTGTGTCTGAAGCAAAGATGGTAACTATGAATTAAATCTGAACTACGCTCATTAGTCTAACACTGTATAACATGTCTACACTGTAAATAACTCACACAGTGTTCGTGACGTGTCATTTACTGTTTGAAACTAGAACGCGGGCTTATTTATTAACAGCAGGCTAACGTTAGCCGGCTAGCTTGTGGCTGCACTGTGAGTAAGCAAAACACCGACACTGTTAGCTAGCGTTAGCCGGCTAATGTTAGCTGCTTTGATAGCGGCTGAATGACTTGTGTCCACAGAAACGGTTCACTGCTAATTAATAGTATAGTTACTGACATTAGCGGCTGATAGTGTAACTGCGTTACTGATTGATTGGCTGCTAAACAGTTAGCAGGCTAACGCCGAGTAGCTAGCAGACGTTAGCGTCAAGTTAAAGTGTGAAGTCTTTACTTTCGTTTTCCTTCAGCTCAGCGGCCCTCACCTTCAGACTAATAACTCCTATTGTGAAGTCAATACATGTCGCGTTACTTCGTGTCGCTGCTCCCTGTCTGTAGTAATTCAACAAACTTTCCTACTGTCGGTTGTTATCCAGCTAATGTCAGCTAGCTTCCCGCAGGACGGAGGGTTTAGTGTCCCCGGCGCTGTGAACACCTGCTGATGCCTGAGTCTCTGTATCTGCACACAGAGCTGCACTCATGAATTATTCAGTCGTGTTTGTAATTTAAAGCCTGAGTCTAGAAGAGTCCAGGCTGCAGACAGACTCAGTCTGGTGTGTAGAGACAGGCTAACCGAGGAAGCCGCTCATAATGCAGGATAACTATGTAAGATCAGCTCATACATACATGTTGTTTCATGTTCCTCTAATGTCACTTTACATTATGGCTTCTTTTTCTTCCATTAGTTCCGCAACCAGTACGACAACGACGTGACGGTATGGAGCCCACAGGTCAGTCTCTGTTTCTTTATTAACCTCACAGTGTCAGTAACTGTGTCACGTCAGTGTCATGGAGATAACATGGAGATAACATGAGCGGTGTTGATGTTGGTGCAGGGCCGGATCCATCAGATCGAGTATGCCATGGAGGCAGTGAAACAAGGCTCTGCAACTGTAGGACTCAAATCCAAAACCCATGCAGTCCTGGTGGCTCTGAAGGTGAGGTCATTATCTCTCAGTATCTCTGCCTCCTGAAAACTTTCAACACTGTCGACTGCTCCTGTTGACAAATGCTTTACTTTGTTACCGTGCCAACCCCCGCCAGAGACAACAGGTCCGCACACAGTTTAGGCAACGTCAGGCTATGACATAGGTTAGAGCACAGGCTATGCGTTGACACAGAGCCTGTGCTGTAGGTACAGCACTGATTCAGTGCGGAAGCATAAATCTGGCTTCATGCTCCTACAGTAGCTGTGGGGGCACAAATCAAAACCAACAAAGAAACATAAGAAAACACCAAGGCAGCGGCTCACTTGTGGCTGTACAGCAAGGCCCTGTGTAGATTCCCCTCAGTTACAGGTCCACACCTGGTCAGGAAGCTCTCACAGCAGTGAGCCCACACTGTTAGCTCTGGGCAGGACGCCTCCCAGACACTGAACTCTTACCACAGCAAGAGGACCCATGGTTCCAGTCAGTGTAGCTCAGGTGACTTAGCATGGAAACATGGACTGGTGCACAGCTACACTGGGGTTTAGCCCCGGTGACACGTTTTACTCACCATACATGACGAGTAAAGCTTCAAGTAGAAATTGCTCCCTCCTGATGTTTACTATATCCAACTGAGTTTTTTATTTGGGAACAGTAAACCATGACTTAACTGTGTGATGTCATTGTTTAATGGAGCGTTTAAATATTAACAAACAGCTGATCATGTGTCAGATTCAGCAGCAGTCAGAGAACATCTGTTTGTGTGTCTCTGCAGAGAGCTCAGTCTGAACTGGCTGCTCACCAGAAGAAGATCCTCCATGTTGACAACCACATCGGCATCTCCATCGCTGGACTGACTGCTGATGCCAGACTGCTCTGGTAGGTCACTGACGCCTTGATGATTTTCAGTGAACCTGTGAATCTATAATATACAGTCAGGTCCATAATTATTTGGACAATGATACAGTTGTCATCATTTTGGCTCTGTACACCACCACAATGGGTTTTAAATGAAACAATGAATACCTGCTTAAAGTGCAGACTCTCAGCTTTCATTTAAGGCTTTTTTCAAAAATGTAGTATGAACCGTGTAGGAATTACAACCATTTCTTCACACAGTCCCCCGACTTTAAGGGCTCATAAGTATTTGGACAAACTAACATAATCATCAATTAAACAGTCAGTTTTAATACTTGGTTGCAAATCCTTTACAGTCAATGACTGCCTGAAGTGTTGGACACATAGGCATCATCAGATGCTGGGTTTCTTCCCTGGTGATGCTCTGCCAGCCCTTTACTGCAGCCGTCTGCACTTCCTGCTTGTGTTTTGGGTGTTTTGCCCTCAGTTTTGGCTTCAGCAAGAGAAACGCATGCTCAATTGGATTCAGGTCAGTTGATATGACTTGGCCATTGCACAACATTCCACTTCTTTGCCTTAAAAATGTCTTTGGTTGCTTTTGCAGTATGCTTCAGGTCATTGACTGTAAAGGATTTGCAACCAAGTATTAAAACTGACTGTTTAATTGATGATTATGTTAGTTTGTCCAAATACTTATGAGCCCTTAAAGTCGGGGGACTGTGTGAAGAAATGGTTGTCATTCCTATTCCTTCCATTGTTTCATTTAAAACCCATTGTGGTGGTGTACAGAGCCAAAATGATGACAACTGTATCATTGTCCAAATAATTATGGACCTGACTGTATAATAAGTGAAGAAGTTATCCTGACACCTTCTCCTCCACAGCAACTTCATGCGTCAGGAGTGCTTGGACTCAAGGTTTGTGTTCGACAGGCCCCTCCCCACATCTCGTCTCGTCTCTCTTATTGGCAGCAGTATCCTCACCTCTGGCAGCTTCAATCTCTGTTGTAAAAATGTTATTTTCTGTACACCACAGTCTCAGTTTTCCTTGTGTGAATACTCTGTGAAGTAAAATGAGAGTGAACCTTAACTGAACCTTCAGAAACCCAAATCCCGACACAGAGATATGGAAGGAGGCCGTACGGCGTAGGACTCCTCATTGCTGGCTATGATGTGAGTTTGCTCACTCAGATATTTTATTTATCTGCAGTGTTAATCTCCTATAAAAGAATAAAACTCGTACTGATTTAAAGTTTGACCGTATCTCTTGTTGTGTTGTCACGTGTTGTCCAGGACATGGGACCTCACATCTTCCAGACGTGCCCGTCAGCCAACTACTTTGACTGTAAAGCCATGTCCATCGGCGCGCGCTCTCAGTCTGCACGCACCTACCTGGAGAGGTTCATGGAGAAGTTCTCTGACTGTAAGATCAGCTGTATTTCACTTCACCTTGTTCTATCATATCAATATTCCTGCGTCTTTATTGGCGGGTTTCATTTCTTTTTGTTCCTGGATGTCCAGAAGAGGCGTCGTTAGTGCTATTAATAACACGTGTTACTGTCTGCTGTGTAAACGGTCTGTTAGTGTCATGAGATGACCGTTTGCTCATCAGTGATCTCATTTAGCAGCTTCACAGTTTAAACATGGGCGGCCTCAGTACCTGACAGTGTCCTCCGCCTGCTGACTAACAAGTGAAAATACTTAAAGATCATTTGTTGTCTTCAGGTAATCTGAATGAGCTGGTGCAGCACGGCCTGCGTGCTCTCAGAGAAACTCTTCCCACTGAGCAGGACCTCACCACCAAGGTACGCCAGCTGCCTCCTGTTCAACACTCTGCTACACAACAGACCACTCGTCTCTGTCTTCATTTGTGTCTTCAGTCATGCGCTCGTCCTGCCTGTGATAAAACTTGTGTCTGTCAGAGCAGTGAAACAGATGAGCGTCAAACTGGGGTTGTGGGATAAATGTGGGGCCACACCCGACTCAGCATCTTGTCAGTCGAAGGCTGACGACACAAACATTTTATGATATTTTCCTCTTTGTCCATATACAGTTTGAACTGGGTTCACTGGGACGTTCAGGGTGATGGTGGCTTCATGTGATATAGTAAACAAGCCAAGTTAACCCTCCAAACTAATGTGCGCTAACTATGTTAACGACGGATCAGAAATGTGCAGCAACACCTTTTGTAGACACAAGATATGAAACAAACTCAGACTCACCTGGGGTCTGTGTCTGCAGCTTCCTGTACTGGAGAGCAAAAGAATCATCAGGCAGCTGAGAGGTTACCAGTCTTTGAGTTTCAGGATGCAGCCTTAGATCAGTATGAATCCAACACCTCACCCAGCAGGTGAAATGAGGCTGAATCAAATCTACTCTTTCCAGTAAAATCAAAACTTAAGTTTCTATACACTGAATATTAATAACTTCATCAAAACAACTAAATCCACCCTAAATGAAGTGTAACCATGACAGATGCAGATTCAGTAAAACGATATGAAAGCCCAGCTGCAGTCAGCGCTGAGGATGATGTTGATCTTTTAAATGAAACACAACACAGGTCGTTTCTTATTTTCACTCGTCCGTCTTTCAGAACGTGTCCATCGGCATCGTGGGGAAGGACATGGAGTTTGTCATCTATGATGATGATGATGTTGCTCCGTTCCTGGAGGGACTGGAGGAGAGGCCACAGAGGAAGGTACTGTGTGAAGGATTTATTAATATCATCTTCCTGCTGTTTGTTTTCTTCTGTGTTTGTCTATCATGGATGTGATTGGTCCAAACTGGAGCTCTGTACCTGCTGAACACTGTTGGTTATATCAGATGTGACCTCAGTCCTCCGTGTCGTTAACCAGCGACACACAGTTAAAATATTCTCACATGTTGGGGGTCATGGGGGAAAAACAAGATTTCACTGTTGTTATTTGCTGAAGGACATTAAGTTATAATTTACAGGTGTGTCTGTTGAACGCAGATTTTCTGTTATTGATTTGTTAAACTGAATATTAATGTGAGTGTTGGACAGACTGATGTGTGTGTGTGTTTAAACCGCTCCTCTGTGTGTGTGTGTGTGTGTGTGTGTGTGTGTGTGTGTGTGTGTGTGTGTGTGTGTGTGTGTGTCAGGTCGCTCAGCCTGCAGATGAACCTCCCGCCGCCGGAGAGGCGCCTGACGAGCCCATGGAGCACTGAGACGTTCTGTTAGTTAACTTCCTGTCATCAGAGGGGGCGGGCACAAACCCAGGCCAACCTGACACTGAACTGTAACTCAGTAAATATGAGGGGGGGTGTTGTTGTTGTGACGTGCCACTCGCTGAACTGTCAATCCAAAATATTCTGCAAACATCAGTGTGATGTTGCTTTTGTATGAGCAGTCGACCATTATACAACTAATAAAGTCTTTTTTTGAATTATGCTGCAGCTCTTTATTAATTAAATCTTTCCTGTTTGAATTCACAATAATACTTGAGTGTTTGGATCAACAACACTGCAGCTGACAAACAAACAAACAATCTGATCCACTGCAGTGAAAATAAATCAATGTAAAAGTCTTCAGGAGTTACAAGTGAACCCAGATCATTTTATTTAAAGTTACTCATAATATTTTAATCACTGATAAACACACAGGTCCCTTTTTCAACAGAGAAGAAATAAATTAAGTTTATAAAAGTAAAAATCTTTAAATAATTTAGAACCCAAAAACAGCAGGTTCGTTAAAAGCCTTAAATGTTGTCAGACAAGAGTCTGTTACTGTCAGGCAGGTTTTCTACAGGGCTGAACTTCATTGATATTACAGCTGCTGCATGATTTACAATATTAGAAGGCGAGAAACATTTTTGCATCATTATTTCTATTTTCTTTGTAAAATGCATGATTGAGGTGTGATTTGTGTGGAGCTCTGCACTGAGTCACGGTGATCTCTGAGCCTGCTGAAAATGATTTGTGGCCAGGACGTGTGCAGCACGACTATATTTGATTTAAAATGATATTTGACACATTTAACAAATGCTGTTCCTCCTGTGATGTGAAAATGACTTCAGCCACACTGATAACATTTAAAATGACCCTCGTCTTGTTCCCACTTTGTTGTCACTGAGTTTAAAACGACAGTCGTCAGATTTGTTCAGAGAAAGTTGAGAAAAGGTACAAACACCTCAGTAAACTGCAGCGATGTGAGTCATGTGACAACATGTCATCAGAGCTTCTTGTTATCGACCCATCTGAACTAAAACAGCGTCTGTCTGGTGTTCGTGAACTTCTTTGTACAGTAAGCATCTTGTGAAGCGTCCTGATTCAGACGTGTCTGCTCCTCATTTATAAATTTCAGAATGACATCTGATTTAAAGCTCCTGACGTGACGACTGAAGACATGAAATATAATAAATAACATTTCCTCAACAAAAACATACTCTGAAGTCCCAGGTGTGAGTGTGTGATGGGAGCAGCAGGTAATGAATCAGGTCCAGTACTGACTGAGGTCTGCAGCAGTGAACACAAAGCTCTATCTCTGTAGGGATCCTTTCATCATCAATGGATCCTTTAACTAAAGTTCCTCCTGCCTTCCTGCCATTAAAATATTATATATTAATATTATTTTCTACATAAATCTTTTAACCAATTCAGTCCTGATTATAACGACCAAAGATTAATTCATTTTCAGTGTTTCAACCCTTTAAACACCAGTTTGTTCACATGCTACTGTTGTTTTTGACTTGTTTACTGTAAACAAAATGCTCAGTGCAGTTCTTGATGGCCCCCATCAACAATGGTCCTGATGCAGTTTTATTGTTAGTGCAGTAAAGTGAAGGTGTGAACATCCCTGAGGTGAAACACTGCAGAGCTCTCAGCCTGTACTGGGACCAGTTTCACAAACTGTTGCTCCAGTCAGTCACCTGGAAACAGAAACATGGGAGACAGGGTCTAAACTTAGCGTTTACTGGATGTTTACATGATGCAGACTGATGTTGTTGTTGTTTGTGTTTGGAAGAGTTTTTATGAGGCTCCTGCTTTTGTTTCTTAAAGAGATACGACAAGTGTCAGAGCTGTTTCAGGAACATAAACTACACCTCTTTGTTTTCTGTCTGGAGGATGAAGCTGACGTGAAGCTGACGTGAAGCTGACGTGAAGCTGATATGAAGCTGACGTGAAGCTGACGTGAAGCTGACGTGAAGCTGACGTGAAGCTGACGTGAAGCTGACATGAAGCTGACGTGAAGCTGACGTGAAGCTGACGTGAAGCTGACGTGAAGCTGACGTGAAGCTGACGTGAAGCTGACGTGAAGCTGACGTGAAGCTGACGTGAAGCTGACTTGAAGCTGACGTGAAGCTGACGTGAAGCTGACGTGAAGCTGACGTGAAGCTGACGTGAAGCTGACGTGAAGCTGACGGAAGCTGACGTGAAGCTGACGTGAAGCTGACGTGAAGCTGACGTGAAGCTGACGTGAAGCTGACGTGAAGCTGACGTGAAGCTGACGTGAAGCTGACGTGAAGCTGACGTGAAGCTGACGTGAAGCTGACGTGAAGCTGACGTGAAGCTGACGTGAAGCTGACGTGAAGCTGACGTGAAGCTGACGTGAAGCTGACGTGAAGCTGACGTGAAGCTGACGTGAAGCTGACGTGAAGCTGACGTGAAGCTGACGTGAAGCTGATATAAAACTGTCCTGTTCTCACATTTTCTCACTGACTCACTTCAAGTAAAGAGAAACAAAGCCGGCAACACACGTTCATGTGTTCACCACCTCTCATGCTCCTCCTGCCTGTCTGATGGAGACAGGTTCAGACTCAGGTTCAGATTTAAAAGAAGACGCAGCAGCCGTCCTCACAGACAGCCGGCTGGAGTTCAGTCCTGTCGGAGTCAATGTGAAGCTTTCTTCGCTCTCCTCCTCTTGTTCCTCCGCCTCACGGCGCCGCAGGAAGTGTCGGTCTCCGTGGTTCTGCTGAGGTCCTCCATCTTCTCCTGCTCCATCATGGACGTCATCTTCAGAGTGAGCTCCAGCTCCTTCAGGACAGCAGCCAGATCCTCCTCTGGGACGCCCAGGTCGATGTCACGTGCTCCCTCCGTGTGTTCATTCACGTTCACCCTGTCCTTTAGATCTCCCTCTGATGTCACATCCTCTTCGCTTCCTGCTGTCAGATCAGACTCTCTGTCTCTGTTCAGGTTCTCCGCTCCGTCAGCAGCCTGTCCTCCACCTGTAACATCCTCAGGAAGGTCGTCTCCGTCAGCCTGCATCCTCTCCGTCTCTGTCTCCGTCTGTGGATGGCGGTGCTGCTGACCGTGATGACAGCAGCAGTGGGGGCGTTCCCACAGCTGCTGACGCTCCTCGCCATAATCTGCACGGACGTCACAGAAACATTTCATCAGTCACAAACTGATCAGCAGATCACAGATCAATGAATCGACCACTTCTTACTCCTCAGACCTGCTGATACATCTTTAGTCAGAGATGGAATGTAACTAAGTACATTTACTCAGGTACTTTACTTTCTATTGCACACAACTTTCTCCTCCTCCTCCTCATCTTCATCTCACCTCTTCATGCCGTACTTTTTACTGCACTACCTGTCTGACAGTTTTCAGGATCACATTGATTTTGTGATCAACTGAAGGATGAAGAGTTCCTGTGTGCGCTGCTCCTGAAGCTAAAACAATCCTGTTGGAACGTGCCATGGTCTCATGGACAGACCTGAACAGAATCTGCAGGGTTTTTAATAGTTTTCAACACTGATCTAAAATGAAAAATATGCTGAATGTTTTTTGGGTTGTTTTTTTTTTTTTTTTGCTGGTAATGTGATCGACAACATTCATTTATGGTAACAACCGTTTTTGAACCCCCTCAACAATTGATCCCAATCCAGTCAGTAAATGCACCTCTGTCATTTTTCCAGGAACAAGTTGAAGCTATCCACAGAGACCTGTCCACTCCTCCATCTCCTCCTCCTCCCAACCTTTGCCCTCCCTCAACCTGCCTACCTCTCTCAGTTCACCCCAGTCTCCCTCACAGACTAACCTGTTCTCATGGCGGGAATGAAAGCTGCCACTTGCACCCTGGACCCTATCCCATCCCATCTCATCAAGGCCTGCCTTCACACTTTATCGCCGCTCATCACAACAATAAGTAACTCCTCCATTTCTACTGGCTCTCTCCCACTCTCCCTCAAACTTGCTGCTGTCACCCCCATCTTAAAAAAGCCTGGACTCAATCCTGACATCACGAACACCTACAGACCCATCTCCAACCTCCCTTTCCATCAAAACTTCTGGAGTGTGCTGTTGCTTCATGACTTAAAGCCCACCTCAATCTCTGCCAATAACCTCTATGAATCATTCCAGTCTGGTGTCCGTTCCCAGCACAGCACTGAATCTGCCCTCCTCAAAGTCTCAAATGACCTTCTCCTCTCCTCTGATGCCGGCAAACTCAACATGCTCCTACTACTTGACCTGAGTGCAGCATTCGACGCCATCGACCACTCCGTCCTTCTCTCCCGCCTTGAAACCACTCTTAACATCACCAGCACTGCTCTCTCCTGGTTAACTCCTACCTCTCCGACAGACACCACTTCATCAGCATAAACAATTGCAAATCCCCCACTGCTCCCCGCTTCCAAGGTGTTCCCCAAGGTTCAGTAATCGGCTCCCTCCTCTTCATCCTGTACATTCTCCCCCTCAGTCACATAATCCGCCGTCATCATGGACATCAGTTTCACTGCTTTGCTGATGACAATCAGCTCCATATCTCCAACAGAGCCATCACTGCCGCTGCTCGCTCCACCCTCAACAACTGCATCACTTAAATCAAATCCTAGCTGCAAACCGACTTCCTCAAACTTAACTGTGACAAATCCGAAGTCCTCATCATCATCATCATCATCATCATCATCATCGGCCCCAAATTTCTCATCAAATCCACCCATAACTTCTCCGTCTCCATCGACAGCTCCACTCTGCTCTCCTCATGTCCGTAACCTTGGTGTCATCTTTGATCAACCCTCTCTTTTGACCAACACATCAAACACATCATCAAATCAGCCTTCTTCCATCTCAGAAACATCACCCTCCTCCGTCCAACTCTCATTCATGCATTCATCACCTCCAGACTGGACACCAGCAACAGTCTCCTCTACGGTTCATCATCCAAAACCCTCAAGAAACTTCAGTATATCCAGAATTCTGCTGCTCGTCTTCTCACACACCCGTGACCACCTCACCCCCGTCCTTCATAACCTCCTCTGGCTCCCCGTCCCCCAACATATCCACCTCAAACTCCTCATCATTACTTTCTAAGCTCTCCACACCCTGCCCTCCTTTCATTGTCTTGTTTGTATGATTTTTATTAATGAATCCCAGGCTCTGATTGGTTTAAAGGCGTCTCAGTTGTTTTGGGTCAGTGGTGGAGTTTTGAGTTCTGCAGGTGCAG